TGAGACCAGGGCCCTGACAACTCTTGCCATCTGGTCCTGGAGTGGAACTAATAGGGCCGAAAGGAGGGATCGCTGTGACGTAGCGAACCCTCCTTCCCCGGTAATGGCTAGCTCTGAAGTTCCGGCCGTACCTGCCCCTCCCCGTCATGACCATAATGCTCCGGCCCATCCCCGCACCCGTAGACCCCATTTCCCTTCCCGTAGCCTCCGCTCTCTCCAGCAGGCCATTTATATCAATCATTCTAGGATGGGAGGTAGGCCTGGGCCCCCTACTACTTCTGCAATAGCACTCAGTGGAGGAGGCACCAGGCTGTTCTCCCAGTTCTATCATCCATACACATCCACTCACCAAACAGTCCCCACGTAGCAGTTAAAAACACAAAATACAATAATAATAAGGTTAATAAAATGTGGGATCATTCACTCAATCACATACACATCACATACACTCCTCATACAAGTTAAAAAGTGCGCAGCTGTGCCAAGTTCGTACAAAGTTTGTATAAAAAGAGTGAAGATTGTACTAATGTGAGAGAGGGAGTCTTTATGTTCTTAATCTTCTCCTCTGCTGAGTCCAGTAAACAGGGCAAGGTCCAAAAGTTTGAAGTGACTAGAGGATTAATGTCGGTTGGAAGGGGGTGGGGGACAGGCTCCCTGCCCACTTCCTCTTCGTCCCCTGTTTTCTCTTTCTGCAAAGATTGTTGGTGCAGAGTAGTACGCGGGACTCTCGGCGAGGTCAGAGGTAGACTCAAATATCCCAACTCCCTCCAAAATGGTGGTCCTGGGGGCGACGGCAGGGGCGGGGGTGGTTGGAAGGCGAGAACAATCAGGCGTCTGAAAAAGGCACGCCTAAAGTAACCGCGGATGGCAGCGGCAACAGCAGCGGGAGCCGGGAGGCCGGCCATGACAACCAAGAAGCCGGGAAGTGAATTTGTCCTAGAGACGAAAGCGAGGGTGGGAGCGGCCGAGAGATGGAAACAGTTTGGGGGGGGGCAGTGTCGTCTGGGGAAGGCAAGCCAGAAGCAATCACAGATGGTAATGGCAATGGTAGTAAAGTCGGAGGCAGAAGTCAGCCACGGTGATCACAAGCTGAGATTGCAGCAGCCAGGCCGTAGCAATGATGGCTAAAGTCAGAAAGGGCTGCAATGGAAAGGGGGGGAGCGCGCTAGGATCAGCAGCGGCGACGGCAAGAGGCCAGTCGCCCAGATCTCTAGTGCAGCAGTGTTAACCACTCACCAACCCTCCTGGGCGGCAGTATGGCTCAGCAGCGTCTCATCAGCAAAAGGAGGGCTGTCGCGTTCCAAATTCAAGCTCATTCGGCTAAGACTACTGCCTTGCTATTAATGCCCTTCAGGCAAAGCGTCCCTCCGCAACCAAACGTCGTTCGAAATTCAAACCAGGCTCGTTGCTAGTTGTAAATCACCGTCCATGGGAGGGGGACGCCGCCCAAAGGCCGTTCAGCCCCGCCGACCAACCAAACACTGTTCGAATTTCAAGCCGGGCTCATTGCTAGATGTAAATCACCGTCCATGAGGGGGGGCGCCACCCAAAGGCCGCTCAACACCGCCAAAAACCGCCCACGGCCGGCAGGGCAGCGTTTCTCAAGCAGTCAAGCAAAAAAAACAAAAAACGCCGACCCGGTTTCAACTGGGTTCGTTGCCAGATTGGGAAACCGCCATCCATTGGGGTGGAGGGGAGGCCACCCGAAGGCCGCTCGATGCCGGCTGACAGTGCTGGAGACCACCCAAAGCTGCCGAGGTAGCATTTCTCAGAAATAATCACCCCTCCGAGATCGCCTTGATTTCTTTTTCGCGCCAGTTCCACTTTGAAGGGTGTCTAGCGTTCCGAAGAGGCTCAACTGAGAAAAAATCACTCTCTTCTAGCCAGAGCGAAAAGCTCGGGCAGCCATCTTCCTCGCTCAGGCGCACACCAGAATAAATAAAAAACTATCTTTAGATAGATTTTTATGCCAAAAGCATTTTATTAAAATAAATTTGATAAAAATGTTAAAAAATCTGATTTAAATTTAAAAATCTGATTTTTAAAAAAATAAATCATTTTTTTATCCACCTTGCTTTGAAAGGTTAACTTGTGCTTCAGAGTGGGTAATATTTAGTATGTTACATTCAGTCCATGTTGGATTTGTCATGGGGATATCTCCTGATATGATTTTTGTTGTAATAATAGCAGTTGCAGTTGATAAAAAGCATGCTTGTTGTATAATAACATGCATTTCAAGTGTCTTCACTTAAATATGATAATAGTTCTAGCACAAATAATGGAATTTGAGGAGGATGACTCAGAAATAAAAGCAGAGCAATATTTTCTATGTATTTTGAATGACTACATATTAGAAACTTTTCTTAAATTTTAGCATAAGCAGATTACTTTAAACATCAGTTCTGGTCTGATTTTTTTGTAGAAGCAGTTGAAACAACTTGCTTTATGCTAATAACTTTGCAGAATCCATTATCACTTTGTTTTTTAGCAAAATAATTTGTCTGATTTGTGCTACTAGCAATGGTTTGCCTTATACATGAAACCAGTTAGGTGAGTTGAGCTAGTCACTTTTCTCAGCCCTGGAAATGAAATGGCAAACCACTTCTGAAAATCTTGTCAAGAAAATTGCAGGGACTAGTCCAGGCAGTTGCCAGGAATCCAAAACGGATTCAAAAGCACACACTCAGAGCAAAGAATTATTAGCTCCTTGATATTAGTGATATTATAATTCCTTGAGGAATTGTGACATGGGGATTTAAAATATTATTAGAAATTATACTTTTATATATTTTGAATATTAGTCGAAGATACTAATGTGGTTAGCACATGCATTTATATAATTGAAATGTTATAAAAATAAGATTGCCTGTGTCAGTGGAGGAGCCTGTTTGGGGCATCAGTTAAAGCACCAGGAGAAACCAGAAGACTGTGAGTTATAGTTCTACCTTGGGCACAAAGCCAGCTAAGTGATCTTGAGCCAGACATACTTTCTCAGCTAGGAAGAAGGCAGTGGCAAACCAGTTCTGAAAATCTTGCCAAGAAAACTGCAAGGAGGAATCCAAGCAGTTTCCAGGAGTCATAAACTGTTTTAAAGCATCCACTCACAAAAAGGTCAAAGGAACTTCTTAACAGCTGAATAAGAGTACTTGTCTTTATATATCCATGCATAAAATAATGTCCTACTCTTTTCTTGAAGAAACTCCTGTCCACAGTGGGTCGTCATCTCCTATTACGCTAACCCCTAGCAAAGAGGGTAGTGCAGTATTTGCTGGATTTGAAGGCAGAAGAAATAATGAATTGAATGAGGTAAGCTTTTTTGGTCCAAGACTTTGATTCAAGATATGAATCAAAATGTCTTTAAACTAGGAACCTACATTCCTCCAGATATTATTGAAATGGAGCTTGTATCATTTTAACTTAATATGTACTAACCTCTTCCTTTCTAAGTATGTTGGATAACAAACAGTTTTGGAAATAGTTCTGATGCAGAAAGAAGAAAGTTGTACAAATTAGGAAGTTTTCTGTTTTATATATTTTAAACTACTAAGATAAAGATTTTGATAATATTTAGTAGAATCCTAATATGATTTTAAATTACATTTAGATGAAGACAAAGTTTATTCTAATTTTATTTTTAGGTGTTGTCATGGAAACTCATGCCAGAAAGCTATCCTCCAGGCGATCAGCCGCCACCACCTTCTTACATTTATGGATCTCAACATTTGCTGCGCATGTTTGGTAACCTACATGAACTACAGTGGTTTTTGTTATAACTTTAATTTATACACTATATTTATTGGAGAATTTTAATTGGAAATTAATTCTGCATTCCTAGCAGGATTTAGTTCACTCAGGTATATATGTGCAATGGTACTTGTAAATAATCTGATCTATTCAGAAATATACTGTAAATCTCTCCTAAGAATATATTTTTTTTAAAAATCAGAACTATATTTCAATCTAACTCACTTTCCAATTTTTATAATAATTTATAGAAAGCATTGGTTATCTCAGGCCACTTATTAACTGTCAGCCTAAATTACTTTAAGATGTTATGGGGGGAGAGAGAGATAATTGGATGAAGATAACTGAATGCTTGAAACAAAGATGGAGTATAAAAAGGTGAAACTAACAAATAAGGGGAAGTGTTAGTGATAAATTGCTTTCAATTGAAAGAAAAACTGTCAAATGGGAAAGGTTGACATTTTTTCCCTTTTTGTTTTTACAGTAAAGCTTCCAGAGATACTTGGGAAGATGAGCTTTTCTGACAAAAATCTAAAAGCTTTAGTAAAGCATTTTGAGTTGTTCCTAAGGTAACCTATGTATAACAGCAAATTTAGAAGCCTAAATATTCAAGACTAGCTAGTAACTTGCAGAACAAACTTTTTAGTTATAGGAAAGTTATTTGTTAGATAGCTTATTCATCCTATATGAGAACAGTAGAAGATTCTAATCAGGAAGTTTTAGCTTCTGTAAAAATACTTTTCTTGTAATATTACAAGTAATCCTCATTTGGCATCTGTAATTAGGACTGGCACATGATTATTAAGTGAAGCAGTGCTAAGGGGAAACTCACCTGACTGAAACTGTGCTGCAATTTTACTCCAGTTGTCCTTTGCTTGTACAGCGTCATAAGGTATGATCCCAAAGAGTCAGGTGAGCCCAAATGGCAGAGAAAGTTTCCAGAACATGAGGAAGCTGAATAAAAGGAAAAAATCTTATAGCTCTTTTCCCCAATTCCCTACCTTTTGGAATGCTCACCTGGTAATAGGATAATTAGCAAGAAGAGAATTAATGTTTGCATTTACGTTCATTAGAGAGGAAAGGTTTACAAGAGAGTAAGCAGGCACACAATGGGGAATATGTATCTAGAGGAATATGCTAGGTCATAGCTGCTTAGGAGGGAGACAAAAACCTTCAGTGTAAATCGATTAAGGCTTGATAACTTTAGGCACCAGATATGAGCTGGCAGAGGAATCTAAGATCACAAAGCTGAATTTGTTAATTTGCGAATATGTCACTGCTCTCAGATAGAAACAACCAGATAAACTAATGCTATTTTATTATAAGGATAAATTAACAGAATCCTGCAAGATTCAAAGTACAAATCCTCCACCCCCACCCCATACACTCACTATTTATACCCTGGTCAATTAGAGTGGGTCCTTCCTAAATTTCTTTTCCTGACCATTAAGCTCCTCCTCTTGTCATTCTGTAGGCAGCATCTCGTGTCTTCCCTCAAGGTTATTCTCACATACCATTACAAATTAGCACTTTTTGTAGTGATATGGTGTGCTGCAGAGAAAAGTGGCTCATCAAGAGATAGCTTATTTAGGCAATCTTTCCACTCTGCAAGCAGAGAAAAGGAAGGAAAAGGTCAGGCCCAGGACAACACAAACAAGTAACTGATTGTAATGATGAACACATGATTGAGAGAGAGAGCCTGCAAAGATAAATATGGGCATTGGTCACAAAATTACCCTTTCATCACTCTTATAACTGTGAACAGTTGCCAATCTAGGTAGTCGGTAAACAAAGACTACTTTTATTGTGTACAAAAGATTGACAGAAAGTACGTGCCAAACATATGATTAAAGAGACATTTCAGTGTATATAGAGCTTGCATATACAGTAGATTAGAAAGATAATTGTTTTTCTTGTATTTCTTAAAAGAAGGTGTTCATGTGAAAAGAATATAGTTTTGTTCATACTGTAAGTTCATGTAATGCAATAATAACCTCCTGCAGGTTCATTGCTGATGTATATTTAGGATCTATTTTTTCATATAGAATAATAAACCTGCCATTCAAAATTAATATATCTTAATTCTGCAGCACTGAATCAGTTCTTCTGATTAATGCCATATAATGCATAATGTCTGATTTTCTCAGTTTTCTAATAAAAATATTTAGGAATATTTGTAGAAAAAAAAATATTGTTAGGTAATATAACTTGCAGTAATAGCCTGCGACCACTAGTCTGTACTAATATGCAGATAATATACTGAAGTTCCAGTCTGGATTACTATCGCAAACAAAACATTCTTTTAATGTATTGGATTAGGATTTTTATTTTAAAGTTCATGTGCTGAAAAAAACATTTAATCAAGTATACAATTATAATACTATCTAATTGTTTTAGTTTCAAATAAGTTACATAAATTAGAAAAAAATATAAAAAATCTGTTCAAATAATGATCCTACTTTTTAACAAAAGCATTTCCAGAATTATTTCAGTGGATTACTTGCAATTGTTCAAAGTTCAAAAGTAAGTTCTGTTGGATATAATGGAAACCACACCCAATTAACCATTTATAAGATCTATGGCCTGGGGTTCTTTGTACACGGTTAATTTATAGCACTTTTCAGAAGCATTTTAAGAGTATTTTGCATAATTTAACATAACAATTAATCATACATATTTTATTTCTACAGGTTCCTAGCTGAGTATCATGATGACTTCTTTCCAGAGTCAGCTTATGTAGCAGCCTGCGAGGCCTATTATAGCACCAAAAATCCACGTGCTATCTACTGAAACTGTGGGTGCAGTCAGTTGTACAAACTGGGCCCGTTCGATGCCTCCTATTTTGTTGCATTACTTCAAGATCAAGAAAAATTGGAAGATATAATTATAATATGACAAAGGCTTTCTACAGTGTTCTTTTGACATAAAGAAAAATTCATTTCAGAGCTATGCTGATGTTGCATTCTAGCACTTGCTAGATAAATGAAGCTCTGCATTGACTGTTAATGCATAGAACTGCATACAAATAAAATAAGAAAAAGGAAGGGATGCATTAGAAACAGACTTCAAAAGAACTAATTCATCCTGTGTTCCACATTATTATAGCCTTGCTTCAGACTGACCTCTCATCATTTCTATTTAAAAAGTGAATGCAGTTGCATTGTGCAGGTTGTTCATATTTGGGATTTTTTGCCATGAAATCTATAAGAAACCACTTCTATGTTAGTATATTTATATCTCAAGTGATTTAAGTATGAGGAATGGACTTGAGGATACTGTCAAGGCAGCAGTGTTAATTCTCTATAGGTCCATTTCACAGTGACCAAATAGCTTTGATTGGAATTAATAAATCCCATATATTGTTTGAATTGCTTTAGGAGTTAGGGTTTTTTTGTATTTAAGAAGAGGATATACTTCATAATTTTTGGAAGAAAGAATGATGAAGTGATAGTTACTTGGCAAAATTTTAGATCTGGAAATACTTGAGTTTTATTTTAATTGTATAGTTCTTGCTTGTAAATCAACTAGAATTTATTTCTGAAAGTAAGAGAAGAATCAGAATATTTTGTTCATGTTAACAAAACCTAACTGATTTCTAAACTGGAAGAAGTTGATAAATATGGAAGAGTTATGCTATCATTCAGTTAGTCCGGCCTTATACAGCACATCTTGAGAAGTCCAATAATTTCACTAGGATTATTATGGTCAATTCATCTGATACATTGCAAATATAATATGATTGCATGAGGCAAGCTAACTAGAAGGTGGGTCCCCAATTCCTGGTCAAGGCCCATTGCCAGGCTGCAGTCTGTTCAAAACTGGGCTGCAGGAGAGATGGGCAAGCATGTGCATGTGTGAAACTCCATTTGTGCGAACGACAGGCAAGTATGCATACAAAGCTCCATTAGCATGAGGGGAGAGCACTTGTGCTCATGCAAAGCTCCATTCGTGGGAATAGAGCTTCAAGCGCAAGCACAAGCACACTGGGCCAGCAAGCTGGAAAGGTTGGAGACTGCTGAAATAGAATACTTCATATTGTACTCTGCCAATTGGATAATTGAGCCTCATGAAGCAATCCTAATAAGTAATGGCACCCTAACTGTCTTATTTTAGAAATTCAGAGCATAAGCGCAAGTAGTTAATAGTTAAGAATAGGAATAACAGTTGTGATCTCTGTGATGATATGGACTATATCTGTAACTCCAACAAGCAGAGCCAAATGTTGAAAAATCTCAGCACAGAAATTGTAGAAAAAATATTTTGTTGATACTAGTCTTCAACACTCAGGTTATGCTTTGTAATGCCTGTCATTCAGCTTCCAAATTCTTGCTGTTACATAGAGAACTTTTTAAAAAGCATGCTAATATAAATGGGTGCAATTATCTTCATACCCTTAAATAATTTTTGAATGGACACCTGTTAAAAATGTGTGACCAGCTCTAATTTGTGAGCTGTTATTTTGGTGCTAAATTCAGTATAAATGTGTTGGTTGATTGATTGCATGCATTACTTTTTTGACATAAGTCCTAAATCTTAAAACAAATTTAGACTTTGGGTTGCAGCCTTGTGAGTGAAGCATTTATTAAGTTTGGTGTAAAATACTGTTTTAAAGATATTAAATATTAATGTTGTATGAATGTAGAATAATAAATAACATTTTTATCATTCTGTTTTCAGCATGTTTGAATGCTAACTACTATATTTTATTGCATCCAAATCATGCATAGTATCAGGCACAAATAACCAGGAGCATTCACTGAGTTCAAAACACAGAAGAGTTTGTTGTTACCTATGCACATGGTAAAATCAAGAATCAAATTAACTAACAGTCTAAAGATAAATTGGTACCAGATAAGAGTCAAGAGTCATGGAAGGGTGGGGGGGGGGAGGGCTGAACTTGGATCTTTTATGACAACACAGTGACTCCAAAGTGATTACTGTTTAACTCTGCCTTCCAGCTCAGCCCACTTTTCCCCTACATATAATAATATAAAACTGGCCTACAATAGGTAAATTGACCCAATCCCTTATGGCTGCTTTTGATGGGAAGCATTTGTATGTACAGGAACACAAAATACTTTATGTGAATTCAGCATTTGAAAATACTTCATTCCATCTTTCTTATTTAACGTCCAATATATTCATTTTTCTTAGCTGTGCTCTCACTTTCATATGTCTATAGTATGCAATGGTAAGTCAATTCTCCCACAAAGATATACCACATATTTATTGAGGTAAGATTTATTACAGTCAGAAATGGCTGTTTTCTGATTAAGCTGTTAATGCTACATTAATTCATGTAGTCATTCAAGTGTTTAAACATCACAAAAATAAATATGAGTATACTAAAGCTTTATAATGATACTTCATTGTTAAGCCTTACTAGAGGAATGGTTCTACTTGACATATTGAGCCAATTATTTTTAGAAACTTCTAAAATGTAATGATAGGAGATACAAACGTGTAAAAATAAGGTAGATATGCTATTTTAGTGTATCTATTTGAAAGGAGTTTCCCAGATAACTATTTTGGCATAAAAGAGTTGCATTCTATTTCAAGACCAAAATGTTTAGAATAGGTATTTTATTCTACTGCAAGATAAGGATCACTAGTCTAGATAAATAAAGCCTCTGTTTTAGTGTACATGGCTATGGAAATTGGAAACACTTCTCATTATACTTGGTAAATGCTCAGCTGGCATGTAATTATGTTCTCATCTTTTTAGAAATAATCCACTTGCACTGGATGGAAAATCACAGGTAAGAATTATGACAATTATAGTAAAACGTATCTGACATCTACACTAGCTATCTAGAATGTGTGCATCCACACATAGACATATCCTGCATGTTAATAACAATAAGATTTGGGCAAGAGAAATGCAGAAAATATACCTAAGGCTGGGGTTGTAATTAGGATACTGTAGGCTGTAGATCAGGGGTGTCAAACTCTTATTTCATTGAGGGCCGCATCAGGGTTGTGTTTGACCTCAGGGGGAGGGGGGCAGGGTGGACATGGCCAGCTTGACGTAATTAGTGTTGGGGGTGCTTGTTGTAGCCCAAGTGGTCTGCCAGTGAAAATGGGCTCCCGAGCTCTGTTTTCGGCTGCAACGGCCTCCTGCAACCATTTGCCAGTGAAAATGGAGCTCGGGAGGGCCACATGCGGCCCTCCCAAGTGCTGTTTTCATTGACAGAGGCACCCCAGGCCAGTCCTTCACTGTTTCTAGGGTGGCCCTGCGGGCCAGATCTAAGCACTTTGTCGAGCTGGATCCGTGCCCTGGGCCTTGGGTTTGACAACCCTGCCATAGATTAACAAAATATTTCAATAAATATGAATAAGATCAGTCTATTCCATGTTAGCTTTTTTGGAACATTTATTTAGAAACTAAATAGAAAATATTCAGTTGAATATCAGTTTTACTGTATTTTAATTTGCAGAGAATTGTAATATAATTTAATTTTTTTGAGAAAATACATGAGTTCAGAATTTAAGAGTTTCTATGAACGAATTACACATATCTGATCCAAATTTGTTCCCTAGTCTACATAATAAGAATAGGAACTTTAAAATGTGGGTGCATTGGTGTTTCAGAAAATTAGCAAAATCTGTGAGAATGCAGAATATCCTTCTTGCTTAATGCAAAAATCAGTGATCATGGATCATTATGAATCTGTAGGCAAGTTGCACTTTTACATTTTAAAATGTAACATTTCCTGTTAGTGTGTTCCAATTATAACTGCATTGTCTATATCAGGGGTGTCAAACTCAGTTTCATTGAGGGCTGCATCAGGGCTCTGGTTGACCTCAGTGTGCTGGGTGGGTGTGGGAAACTAGGTGGGCATGGCCAGCTTGACACCACTCCCCAAACTGCTGGCATGTTTCCTCTTCACATTGAGTAGACCAGGATGTCCCCGCGGACCTGACCAGACCACATCACAGGTGGATCAAGCCCGAGAGCCTTGAGTTTGACACTCCTGGTTTATATGCTTTTAAGAATCTTGAAAAATTGGAAATGATCCAGACAACTGGTATAATTTGTCATGAGCCAATTGATTGTTTCCTTCTCTAGTTCTTGTGGTGTTCAAAAATAAATGTATACAATTGTAAAATGTGTGAATTGTTATCTTGTTGCCTGTACAGAAAATAGATCTTAAGTGAATTGATGCTGTTTGGGGAAGGGGACACCTGGAAATAATTGAATCAAAGCAAATGTGAAGAAGCAGCTGTAATGTACTAAGTAGGCAAAATAGTGATTTAGGAGCTATGATCATTTGAGGAGGGGGGTATGTTTCAGGCTTCTTTGCCCAATGGCTAACAGAATCAAAGGAGAGCATCTCCTTCAGCACTTAAAACTGGTTCACTGCAATAGCTGCCAGACAAGATAAATACAACACAGAAAATAAGTCAATTTACTATACCATTTAAAGGAATTGGACTAGAAGCTGGAAGATAGAGTTCTAATTGTGCCTTAGGCATGTGGGCCAAATAGGTGATTGTGCACCAATCATTCTGCCTCAGCCCTAGGATAAAAGCAGTCACAAACTATTTTCAAAAAAAGTTCATGTAATTCCAAGTGTCAAGCAAAGCTTGAAAACAGAGGCAGAAAACAGCTTATAGAAAGCTCCTTGTATAATCTCCAAAGTCAAAATAAAAATTGACTATGACAAAACGATACATGGAATAGCAGTTTTACAATGCTTCCCTATGAAAGGGGCTATTTTTTTTTAAATTGAGAAGCATATAGATTTGCTATTGGTCGCCACAACTGAAAAATAATTCTGTGTAGCACAGTGAAAATGTTTAAAACTATCCCCCTCCCTCCATCCCTAGATGGGGAGTCTAATGCAGATACAATCTCTTCCAGGATGATCCTGTGTACAAATAATAGACCAGTAGAAGTGTTTAGTAACTTGCTCATGTGGTGCTGCAAAGTCCCAGATCTTTGAGAACTGGATGCAAAGTTTTATAGCCATTAGCGGTGTGAATCTTGGTAGGCTCTTCTCATAGAAAACTAGATATTTTAACCACAGCTATTATGACACTGAAGCAGGAGTTCATGAATTATCTCGGGCAGCAAAGAGGAGTAAATAATTGTTAGAAGAAAATTATTTTGTTTTATTCAAGACCTGTCACTTGGAAGAACCTACTCTGACTAGCTGATCATTGTGCAAGCCTTTTTGGCAACTGCTGCATGACCTCTTCTAAAGACTCCAGTTTGTTAACTGGTAAAACTCATGATACCTCTTCTAAAAAAAAGATGTTTATAATTCCTGTTGATTTATTTATCCACTCCTAACTTCACCCCCTTTGTCTAAAGTTTTTGGGAGATTAACTGAAGTTTCAGGGATCTGTTTGGCATCAATTAACAGCAATGATCCAAAACCTTAACAGTTGTCAATAAGAGCCAACCTCAGTTAATCACTTATTTTTGTGCCTTTTATGAGCCACAAAGTCCCTGCTCAAAGAGAGTATTTGTTTATTGGATTTATATGCCGCCCTTCTCCCAAGGACTCAGAGTGGCGTACAACATTAAAAAAAAACACATATTAAAAACACAAAGTTTTTAAAAAATTAAATAGAGTATCCAAAAAACAAACCCAATTAAGATTAACAATAACATTTTAAAAAATTCGATTAAAATGAACAATAATCAATCATTTATTTTATTTTGTTCAGGCCAAGCTGGCTTGCTGGAAAAGCCAACTTTTTAGGGCNCCACAATCAGGACATTTAAAGGGTTTCTCTCCTGTGTGAGTCCTCTGGTGTTTCACCAGGCTGGAATTGTGACTAAAACCTTTACCACAATCAGGACACTCAAAGTGTTTCTCTCCTGTGTGAGTACTTTGGTGTGTCACCAGGCTGGAATGATGACTAAAACTTTTTCCACAATCAGGACACTCAAAGGGTTTCTCTCCTGTGTGAGTCCTTTGGTGTGTCACCAGGCTGGAAATCTGACTAAAACTTTTCCCACAATCAGGACATTCAAACGGTTTCTCTCCTGTGTGAGTCCTCTGGTGTTTCACGAGGGTGGAATTGTGGCTAAAACTTTTACTACAATCAGGACACTCAAAGGGTTTCTCTCCTGTGTGAGTCCTTTGGTGTGACACCAGGCTGGAATGATGACTAAAACTTTTTCCACAATCAGGACATTGAAAGGTTTTCTCTCCTGTGTGAGTTCTCTGGTGTCTCAACAGGATGCCTCTCTGACTAAAACATTTCCCACAATCAGGACATTCAAGCGGTTTCTCTACTGTGTGAGTTCTCTGGTGTGTAACCAGGCTGGATTTATCACAGAAACATTTCCCACATTCAGGACATTCAAAGAGTTTCTCCTTGGTGTGAGTCCACATTGCCATACTTGCTAAAGCATTTGTCGCGTTTTAGGGCTTCTGTCCTGTGTGGGTCCTTCCATGAAACCAAACGGAGTTGTTGTGACCAAAGGTTTTGTTACATTCAAAGTATTTGTATGGCTTTTCTCCAGTATGGATCCTCTCATGCTTAATCAACTGTGATTTGCAAGTTGTATCTTTCCCACAATGGGCACGTCTATGGAGCTTTTCCACAACTCATATTCCTGAGGAGATCAGAAATATGGATGGTCACTTGTTTGGTGGTGTTTTGTTTCAAGCCGTTTTCTTCCTCCCAGAGCACCGCCTGTCACACTGTCTGCTCTACGTGGTTTTCCACACTTTACGTTTCCCAGTTAGAAATCTTTTCTTGATTCACTCTTGTTTCTCTCTCACCTGCTGAGGAAGTTGGAGATTTGTGTGGCTCTCTGAAGGAAATGGAAAATATTTTGATTTCCGGACTGATTTGTTTTCCTTTTCAATGTTGCTTGTTATCCTCAGTGTCCAGAGTGCTCCTATTGCCATCTTCTGTGTCTATAAGATTCAAATAAAAGTGTATCTTTAATTGTGCATAAAATGGTTGCAGAAGATGAGAAAAAAAGAAAAAAGCTTATGTTACAATGAAAAAGCAAACATGCCACAAAGCTACAATAATTTTACATTAATCATGATTCATTTGACACATGGAAGACTACCCAGATCCATTCAATGATGAAATTTGCTTGTTGACTGGGTCAATCAATGAATTCCTAGCAGCGCAAAGGGTTGTTTTCAAATACAGTCCAGTGAAAAAGAAACTACACCCTCTTTGATTTCTATGGTTTTACTTATCAAGACATAATAAATATCATTGCAACAGAAGAGAAGAGAATAACAGAATTGGAAGGGACCTTGGAGGTCTTTCTAATCCAAGCCCTGCTCAAGCAGGAGACCATATACATGGTCACTTCTGGTTTGCTTGTAGGGCCGGTTTTTGCCCTCCCGAGGCTTCAGGGAAGTCTCGTGGAGGCTCCTGAAGGTTCCGGAGGTTGAAAATCAGAGCTATGGACAAACAGGAAGTTCCCATTCCCAAAACTTCCAGGTTCCCCGTAGGTCAATTTCCCCCCCTCTGGAGCCTTCAGGGACTTCCGGTTTGGCCGTAGATCCGTTTTTTGCCCTCTGGAGGCTTCATCGGCCCCATGGGGAACCTGGAAGTCACCATTCCCAAACTTCCAGGTTCCCCATAATTCCTTTTTCACCCTCCAGAGGCTTCCGGAAGCCTCCAGGGGGCCTCTGGTTGGGGGAGGGGCTGTTTTCACCCTCCCCAGGCTCCTAAGAAGCCTTTGGAGCCTGGGGAGGGCGAAATAACTGTGCCGAAAGCGATAGGTGGTTTGCTGGTTGCACGCACATGCACGGAGGTATTGCGCGCATTGAATTATGGGTGTGGGCATGCCCGCAGACAACCCCCCCTGCTCTCTCCCAGCTTTTGGCACGGGGCCAAAAAAGGTTAGCCATCACTGCCCTATACTGTTTCAGACAAGTCACTCTCTTGTCTGTTTTGAAAAGCCTCCAGTGATGGAGCACCACAGTGATAGCCAAGTACTGCTAATAAAGTGCCCTTGATCAATTGATGTGACTGTTGCTGCAAACTTGACCTGATCAATTGATCATCAGCAAGTATGACTATATCTATAAAAGCCGAAGTTGTAGGAGTTTTCTGGTCTCCGGCATTGATGTGTGTGTTAAAGCAAGGCCATTATATTTGATGTTATAACAGCAGCTAGGATTGCATTTGCACAAAATTGGAAAAGTGAAGAGATACCTACAGAGGAGAATGTGATTAAGAAAATATTAGAATGTGGCGGCTTCCGGTGGCAACGTAGGCTTTGACGGACGTCTCTCTGGGATGTTCCAGCGCCGGGATCGCGTTTAGCTGCCAGAACAACGTACATCAACTGTCTGACAGCCTGAAAACTCTCCCCTCGGGAAAAGAGGGGGAGAAGAGTTGCCGAGCGTGGGTAGAGCTCCCTTAAACCCCCAGGAGCAATTTTCTGGGGCTTGGAAGGTGTGAGCTCCCCTGTAGCTCGACACACTCTGCTCTTGGGACGCATCTGCTTTATGCAGAACAAAGAGCCACGTCCACACCTGCAATCAATGTTTTGATCTACATTTGAATAAGAAGCAGGCAGTGCAAATACTGGAGAGTTCCACAATCGCAAGTATTTCTAAACTTTAACTCCGATTTACAAGAATTCCTTCTGTTAAAATTAATGAGATAGAAGTGAAAATGGCGCCTGAATATTAAGGTGTGGCTATAACGAACTTAACAAGCAATTACATCTTGTTTGTTTTGTTTGGTTGGTTTGTTTTATTAGCTTTGTATGCCGCCCACTCCCGAAGGACTCCGGGCGGCTCACAATAAAACAGGGAAAGGAGATAAATAGGACGATACAACAATTTAAAAATACACAACATTCACAATTGAAGCGGGGCTGGATACTTCAACAGCCCCGGCCTGTCGGAACAGCCAGGACTTAGTAGCTTTACGGAAGGCTGGGAGGGTAGTAAGGATCCGGATTTCCACCGGGAGCTCGTTCCAGAGGGCCGGAGCAGCAACAGAGAAGGCTCTTCCCCAGGGGATCGCCAGCCGACATTGGCTTGCAGATGGGACCCGGAGAAGGCCAANAAGCAATTGTTGCTGTACATCAATTTGGGAAGGTTTAAAAGGCCATTTCCAAAGTCTTAGTGCATCTTATACTCTGGTGCATCTTATACTAAAAAAAATACGGTAATATAAAATCCATCATGGCTTAATGTCTCCCCTGGAATCCCAACCCTTCCCAGCACTCCTGGCCCGTGCCCATTAGTTAGTTCTGGCCTGTGCCCTGACAGACTCCCCCCCAAGCCTGTCTGAGCCATCCAAATCAACCCCCCCCCATGCCCCCTTTAAAATTTGATTAAAAACCCCCTGTAAAAAACCCCTAAGAAGTCTCTTCTTTGCATGCCACCTCTTGGGATCCCAAGAGCCGTCATTAAGGAAGCCTCTTGATAGGCAAGTAGGCCATCCCTGGGAAAGGGGGAGTTCCAGAAGGGAATAAAGTTCTGTTGCAGCATAACATAGAGGAGAGTGTGGCATCAACCAAACGAGATGACATCACAGGGAGATGGAACGAGGAGGGGGGAGGGGCAGCCAACAGTGTTCAAGAGGGGTAGCGGGAAGCTTATGTCCATCATAACAATGGTCGGTGTTCAGGACAATATGTAACAGTAACAACCAGATGTCAAAAACGCAGCAGATGATGAATTGAGAGGTGGTGAAGCGGCCAGTAATGGTGGCGATGAGGACAGCATTGTCAGTAGTGGCTGCTCCAACTTCAACAACTCCAGCAGCTCGGCTCCGTCCACGTCAGCTGCATTCATATCCATCTCCAGGGCCGCACTCCATTAACCCAGTCCATATTGTCATAAGAGTAGGGGTCAAATGGCCAAATGACACAGTACGGTGGCCCAGGCAACGGTGGTGATACCGGAGGGGGCCAAAACAAAGGAACCCCACTCCAACCGCACCCATGCCAACTACCGAAGTCATCTTCTGCTGGCATCAATATCCATGCCAGCTGCCTCAGCCACTCCCCTCTGATCCAATTTATCATGTCCATAAGCAAGGGGGGGCAATCGCTATAACACCACAATGTGGGGAGCGGCAGCTGCAGAGATCGCAAGCCAGGCGTCCCACCGCCGCTGCCGCTGACCACACCCACGCCGGCTTCAGAGACCTCAGGCCAGGTGTCCCCCCGCCGCCGCTGACCACACCCACGCTGAAGGAACTGGCAGACGAGCTCTCAGAACCACTGAACTATATCTTTCAGAGATCTTGGAGCACTGGGGAACTACCAGAGGACTGGAAAAGAGCTGATGTGATTCCCATCTTCAAAAAAGGGGGAAAAACAGATCCAGGAAACTTTACCCTCAGGTACATCCCCGGGGGGAAGAACTTTATGGCTGATGCCTTGTCCAGGCTTCCCCAGTACAACAGCTCTAGTTAAATGTGGTTTATCCAGTCATTCCAGCTTAAAATCTGGCTGCCCCAATGGTTACTAGGAGCCAAAGCCCAGTGGACTTAGATGTGACTACGGACCTAATGAACAAACTCAAAGAGGGCCTTGACCCTGATGACTGGTTCAAGAAACATTCTGATGAATGCACCATGAAAGATGGACTGGCTTAGGTAGGAGCTAAACTATATGTTCCTGCCAACCTGAAACCTGTCATACTTCAACGGGCCAATGATTCAAAAATGGCAGGCCGTTTTGGATTTGTAAAGACTTTGCATTTGATGAAAAGGCAATTTTGGTGGTCTTCATTGAAAAAAGACATGGAGTCCTGCATAGCCAGTTGTCCTGTCTATGCAGCCGCAAAAAGGCCACCGGGGAAGCCCCAAGTTCTTCTCCAAAGGGTTGCCTGTCCTCGGGCCCCGTGGAAAGAGATATCAATGGACTTTATTGTCGAGTTACCAGAAAGTCTGGGGAATACCATTATTTGGGTTATCACCAATCTGTTTTCCAAACAGGTTCATTTTGTGCCTTGCTCCAAGATCCCATCAGCAATTACCTCCACTAGACCGATTAGATCCCACAGATTAGGCCTCCTCCGAATTCCATC